CAATTTTTCTTAAACAAAGTATATACCAGAGGAAAGGAAATTAAATATGGAATAAAACTAAAAAAAATGTTGTTTTAGCTTCATTACAAAAAAAGTTATGATTTTTTCAAACTAAAAATTAAAAAATTCCATTTTTTTCAGTTTTTTACCTATATCTTTGGTCTCGACCAATGGAGAGAGTCGTCAATTTCCATTTTAATGTAAGAATACATGCTCTTTCAAATTCAGAAGGTCCCATTTGGTTATACCTCAGTTTTTTTAGCTCCGAAACTAGAAGGCTTTTCGCGCTTGATCCGACGGACTATATTACAGGCTTTTTTGAAAAACTATTTATTGTCAAGGAGGTCGAAATCAACAGAATAGCAAGAGAAAACTTTCCTTCGGCATTAAACATCTACAGAATTTTGTTAAAAAGAGAAGAAAATCAATGGCGCACATGTTTTTTAGAAAAATATTCCATTGATAACTCATATGCACGTCCTTGGTGAATCTGTCGACACTTTTTTAGTATTCAAATATGTCGCACTGATAGCAATTTTTATCCTCAAAATTTAATTCGAATTGCTAAAAGCGTTTGAAAGAAAATTGGAATCGAAAAAAAATGAACACTTTAACCCCTTGTAGCTACGAAACAAAGCAGAGTCGGACCTATGTTTTTAAATGACTTACAGTACTGTCCGACCAGCGGATCTGAAGCTACGGCGCGTCTGTATAAACAGTCCACTCCACCTTTTTAGCGTTTTATTATTGAATTTAATAATTATTTTTCTGATAATATACGTACTTGAAATGTGCTACATGTCGATACTAGTTTTGTACCTTTTGATAACATTTTAATACGTTTTTTTGTAATTAATTAGCATGGTACCACCTATTACAGTTGAGGGTTGGAACCTTTGGTGTTAAACGGCAAAATAAAAACACTAAATCACCACAATACACCAAAACACTTTCACTTTAACACTGGACGCGCGTTTCGCTAACCATGTTAGCATCATCAGCAGATGATTATAAACTAAACTAAACAGTTTATAATCATCTGCTGATGATGCTAACATGGTTAGCGAAACGCGCGTCCAGTATAAAAGTAAAAGTGTTTTGGTGTATTGTGGTGATTTAGTGTTTTTATTTTGCTGGTACCACCTAAATAAGCAGTACATACTTACCATAGGCGTAGTCAAAACATTTATTAAAAATATAAATATCTCTTCAAGCAGCTAAGTTAAGAAAAACATGTGGTACAGCACTGTTTGGAGGTATGATAACAATTTGGTCTCGGGTGTTATTAGTCCTAGTATTCTTTAAGTAAGGGGTAGTCTTGACCTTAACAGTGTAGAGTCAAAGGTCAAGTGTCAAATGTTATGGTGAAACTTAGTTTATATCCCAGTTTTTATTTGTTTATACTTTATTATACGAGCAAACCGACAAAAATATATAAAAATCAGAGGCGGATATAAAGGAGGATGGGGTATGGGGTACCTCCAATGTTCTTTCAATGGACGGTGTTGGGAGATCGCCATCCTAATTGGGAAATGAAAAAGAGCTTCATAGTTTTTGCTCATGTGAAAAAGTATTTATTTCAAAAAAGTTAATGATTATTTAATTCACTCGACATATTTGAAAAGATTGTATAGTGTGCTACATGGAAAATATTAAGCAAACATTATTAGAAGGCAAACTTTTTTCTGTTGTTTTTAACTCGCGCGTTAAGTCGTTTTTAAGTTTAGTATATTTTAAATACTTAATCTAAAAGAAGCTAATTTTTATCAAGAAATATTATTTTAATTTTAATTTTATTAATTGTAATTAATAAAATTGCGTTTATCTTATCAAGGAGATCGAAATCGACAAAATAATCAAGATACAACTTTTAATCGGCATTAAACGGCCTATACAATTTTGCTATCAAAAGAAGAAAAGTCAGTGGCGTACATGTTTTTTTTAGAAAAATATTCCTGTGATAAGCCATATACACATCCCTGGTGAATATGTCGACACTTTTTTTAACATTAAAATATGTCTCACTTATAGTAACTTTTACTCTCAAAATATCATTCGAATCGCTAACAGTACTTGGAAGAAAATTATTAAACTATATCGCCTGGTAGCTACGAAATAAAGCTGAATCGGACCTATATTAATATGAAAAATAAATCTTATTTTTACGCGAGGAATCTCCCTACCAGAGATGGCACATGTTTTTTGAAACACCCTGTATATAAAAACTGCTATGAAAAGTCGAATTTTGTCTCAAACAGGATTTCCATAAAGGCTTTTGGAAATCCGGACGAGATTGGGACAAATGAACTCTGAAATCCGGACAAAATCCAAACGTCCGTCGCAAAAAAAATATAAATTTATTTAACTCTTATATATTTTTTTATATTTAAATTTATTTAACTTTTATAGGGCGCAAATAATAGCCCCGGAATCAACAAAATATAAACCAAAAAACATTCACTTTCCAGGAGTGCACCAAAAGCGAAATATTTGAGCGCTAAAGTATAGGAATGGGTATTTTCGAACATGTGTCGGTTAAGTAGAGCTGTAGCATCGTAGAGACTAAAATATTCAACAAAGTAACTGCGAAATTAATTCAAATGTAACTGCTAAAATATTTTACTGAGTTAAATTGTTTTTGCGGCCAGGTTTCTCGGGCGCTTTTCCAAATCCGGACCCGGACACTTTAAAAATCTAGACATGTCTGGGTGAATCTGGACGTATGGAAACCCTAGTCCCAAACGACGAGAATATTTAATTCACAGGCCAAGTCCTCCGAGCAAAATACGAGAGTTTTGATACGTAACAGGCCAAGTCCGCAGGCCGGATCTACTGGTGTATGGCGTGATGGTTCATAGCAAAAAATTAGTTAGTAAGTAAAAACTTTTACTGTTGTAAGGTTGTATGTAACTTTAACTCAATTTTCCCTATAGTGGTATTAAGAGTCTATTACGCTGTACTTTCGGGTCGCTCTCAGGGGTCGGGTAAAACGGGTGTGTGGCCGAAGGAAATATATATTATATATTTCAGAAATCTGCCTAAGCCTTAGTCCGATACTGTCCGATACACATGTGCTTTGATTAAAGCTTGATTATACATATATCACTGCAATCACAAAACTTCAATCTATTTCCGTATTCCGTATTGTAACACTAGGGAATTTTAAATTACCTATGTCTATTAGTCCAAACATAATTAATATTTTGTTGATGTTTGACCATCAAAATCTTTAAAATAAAGAAGTTGTCTAAAAATGTGCTAAAGTACCCGGTATATTCCCATTCTACCGGGTATTTACAAAGTTCTCGTTGGTAAAGCGCTCGCCCTTTTAAAATTCTATTACTCATCTAACGATTATATTCTAACGTCTATGATTCTACCTAAATTGAACTGCCGGCATTGTGATTTATTTTCGATAGAATTAAGGCTATTGTGCACTTGTGCAGTCTTTGTGAGTTGGTTGAGAAGAATTTGTGTGATTGAGGTAAGCTTCCTACTCAATTATTTAGATTACTAAAATAAAATGTAATTTTACCTATATTTTTGTTGCAAATAACCGGTGTCTATTTAATTATCTATTTGAAAATTCTATTCATTTTATGATCGATTCGGTTCATAAGAAATAATTTTACTTTTACTTATTACTATTCTTTCTTACGTAAAAAGGGTTTATGACAAAGAGGTAAAAGGGGTAAATCTGACATTTTCTCTAAATAATGGAGTAATATGCCGATTTATGGTTTTCGTGTAAACAGATTTGATTTTTTAGTTTATTTGGCAAAAAATTAAATTAAAAACTGATTTTATAAAATGGACGGGATGAAAATACTAAATTTCATAAATAATTGAGTAATAAGTATGTCGATTTATGAGTTTTCGGATACACAGATTAGATTTCATTTCAGAAGAAACTCATATTTTGATGTTATATGCCAAAAGAAAAGAGCGTGGCTTTAATACTATACTTTATTTTGCAGCTGCATTACTTGACCCATTAAATCAGGGTTCAAAACTCACCCCTGAGTCCCAAAGAAACAAATTGATACAATGGAGTTTATTTATAAAGTAGCCACGGATATGATTCTCCTGAAAAGATTATGACAGATTTAGCGAATTACCGGTCAAAATACAAATTATGGTCCAAAAACTTATTATGGAGTTACATTCACTCTTCTACATCTCCAGTTTCTTGGTGGAAAGGATGTGTAGAACAATATCTTTATCCAAAGTTGCTATAAGAATTTTGACTGCTCCAGTTTCGTCGGCAGAAATTGAGATCATTTATAACGTTTTCTTTCATTTATCATAAAAAAGAAACAAATTGACAACCAAAAGAGCTGGAAATATTACTTACATATCTCACAATTGGAAAATAAATTTTGGGTCCAATAAATCTGAACAAGAATTAGATGACTAGAAGACTAGATGACACAACTGAAGCTGATTTTGATTCTGAAGCCCAATAATTTGTTTTTTTTTAATATCCGTTACTTTTTTGTTATTTAATTTTGTTTAAAATTAAAACGATTTTAAGCGTTTATTTGTTATTTGTTGTTTTCATTTCGATTCTACTCGACCACTTTTTATTTTTAAATGTTAAATTAACAAAATAAACACACTTGGGTATGTATTTATGTATTGGGTATATTTACCCATTGGGTATATCCTCGATACAAAACATCGGGTATTTACCCAAATTTCAATATATTCGGTGTTTGCCCATCTCTGAGTATAATCCTTTATCTTTAATTTCCTTCTTCATTTGTATAAAAATACCTAGCCAGTTTTACATAAAACGTTAAATGCCGAACGCTTATTTAGCTACTTTTTCGGACTAGTGAAATGGACCCTTAAAGTGATTTATTTAAATAACTTTAAATAAGCATCTTTATTATTTGATTCGTTTCATAGTTGGTTTAGTAATTCATTATAAACGATTTCATAATAGTTGTTATCTTACATTATTGGAACGTTTTTCTCAACGTTACGCTGTCAACATCAACGTCAACAATAACGCTGTCACAGGAAAACAGAAAATTGTCGAAACCCAGTTTTTATGTTCAGATATTTTAAATTTATCAAAATTCTTGTTAACCGCATTTGAAAATGTGCAGCCGTGGTAGGGATTGTGCCAGAGAGAATGTTAGTATTTTTTGTGATAGAAAAATATAAGCAATTGCTGAATAATAATGCTGATTAATATTTTTATAATCCATATTTAATTTTTTCAGTCATCCAGAATTTATGGAAATGCACCGCCACCGTCGCACAGGACAGTGCAGATTTCTATGGAGAGGAGTCCAACGAGGGGAGAATTTCCTGGCATGAATAATTTTTCTGAGGTAATATTTCATCCATCATAAAAGTATCGGTTAAGAGTTAGTTTCGTTAGCTAGTTTACAGTCTATCTGGAAAGTATACAAACTATCCAAACATCTAGTTATTTTTGATAGAATATTATGAATATAAACTTGTTTCTCCAGTTTATATTGAAGTTTCTATTCACCTAAAAAAAGAAAGCTTTTATTTTGTTTCTTGTACATCATTCTGTGTGTATAGTACTTTTCTGATTCTCCTATAATATTCTTTCCTCAAGTTATTCTTCATACTCTTGTTGTCGGTCGGCTGATTGTTGTCGATTTCGTCTCTTTCTTCTAGGCCTAAGTATTTGTCAGTTTCTTTCGAATCCAAATTTTTTATTTCAATTTTTATGTTCGATTCTACTTTTATGCTATTATTTTTTGTCAACTTCCCTTTCATGAATATAGCTGTAGCGCACTTGTCTAAACCAAACTCCATTTTGATGTATTGGCTGAATGTTTTAACAATTTTGAGCATTTGTTCCATTTCCTTTTCTCTTTTTGTAAATTGTTTCAAGTCATCAGATATAATAGGTGGTTTATCTTAACATTGCGATCTATTTGATACCCACGGTTTTTTCAGTAAATTAGTAAAGGGGTAATAAGAGCTACGCAGAATAACAAGATTAGAGAGTGAGATTAGAGATTAGAGGTGATCCCTCTTAAGTTTTATATTTGTTTGCCCATTTCCCCATAGATGACTTTATAAATCCTATGATTTCTTACTTACACTTACTTATGACTTTTGATGATCCAGGTGTGTGGTAGACTGTCAACAGCTTTTTTGTAGTCAATCTACAACATGCATAGATTCTTCTTCTGCTTCTTCGCTGAGTTCATTATGATCTTGCTAAGAAGGAGTTGGTCTTTGCATCCTCTTGATCCTTTTCTGCATCCTTTTTGCTCAGGTGGGAGCATATAATTTTTGTTTAAGTGATTATAGATTCTATTTATTCATAAATTTATACACGGTAGGAAACAAGTGATAGGCCTCTAGTTTCTTGGGTCTTTTGTGAAAATTATCAGACTCTACCGGGTGCGTCTCAAAAGTGGCTTGGTTTGAGGGCAAAGCCAATAGGTTTTGCAAAGTGGCTGATTTGTCAAGACTTGATTTCTGCATTCGTCTTATTATTTTTAGAATTCTAGAACCATACATTGGCGCATGTGTAAATTATCCTTATAAATAAATAAATAAAAAATAGAAAAATGGGTCATGGAGTAGAAGAGACTTACCTTACATATAATCCAAGTTAGCAACTGTTTTAAAATTGTCTACCTATTTTTACAAATTAAAAATATTATATTCTGAATTATAACGTAGTGTTAGGTACTTTTAAATATTTATGTTAAGAAAACAAATGTAAACAAGAATAATATGTATCATAGAGTTTATGTTTAGTTTTCAATGTAAGTAATGATGGCGTCAGAGTATTTTATAGATTTGTCAAGACTTGGTTTCTACGTTCGTCTTATTATTATTAGAATTCTAGACCCATAAATTGGCGCATGTTGATGTTTAAAACTAAAAGAACTGAATACCAACTTTTTATTAACATATTTTAGTATGGGCGGCTATACGTGCCTCCCGGCGCCAATTTTTTTCCTTAGAGCCACTGTGTTTGAGATATAACGACTAAAGAGTTGTAATCGTCTTAATAGGCACACGTTTCACCTATGATGTAGTTGACTTTTTGTAGCGTTTTTTTAACGTGGTTGTCCCAGTAGGCTTATTCCACATGTTCATTATGATTCTGTTTAATTGAAAACTATTGCAGAATAAAAGATATTAGTAAGGGTTGGAAATTATAAAAGCGATGGAAATAAATAAAAAAGAAATTTTACTAGTCTGATTCATCCTTCAAATACTTTTTCTTGTTATTCTTCTTGATCTTCGTCTTGTTCCTTTTCTTCATCCTGGATGTAAGTAAATTGCGCCAATAGTGATCTATCGCATGTTTCTTCAAATGAATCCTCTACTATTGGTGATTCGACATTAGAACATGACCGGTCTTGACAATTTGTACATGCCAGAGAACAAAACAGTCTAACCAGTTTTGCAAAGAGTCAAAATTATGTACTATTTTTACACGCAATAACTGGCTGTGATACGACGCGACGCGCGACGTCTACAGGAGAGGTAAAAAAAACAACAGTCTTTAAAATGTTTGAAAAACAAGACTTAGTTCAATGTGCTGAAGTTTTCAAAAAAAGTAATTTAAGTCAACGAGAGATTAGACCTATCGGATACGCTTTCTTCTTTCTGTATACGGAGCTCCGAAAAAAAAACCACCTGCTTAGATAAGTATCGATATGCATGTTTCGTTAAAAACACTCGAAATAAAAAAACAGGTGCAATTTGTTTGTCTTCCTCCAACCTCAGTTGCTGCTCATCAACATCTTTTCCGGGTATATTACCAACTTCAAGTGTAGTTTGGTTATCAGCTAGACCCAAAAGGCTGGGGTTGGAAGTTGGTCGACAATACATTAGGACCAATTCAGACTTTACTCCCACCTGCGCCGGAAAAACTGCTAAACACAATTTTTTGTAACTGTAAAAAGGGATGCAGTGCTAAATGTGGTTGTAAAAAAGTTGGACTGTTTTGTTCTCTGGCATGTACAAATTGTCAAGGCCAGTCATGTTCTAATGTTGAATTACAATAGTAGAGGATTCGTTTGATACCAACGAAGAAACATGCGATACATCACTATTGAAGCAATTTACTTACATTCAGGATAAAGAAAACGAACAAGACGAAAGTCAAGAAGGAGAATCTTCTCTAAATCAAGTTCTTTATTTACATTAGAAAACCTAAATCTTTGACCAACTTCGAATTGTTTCATACTAAGTTGCTTGATCAGATACGATAATCCAGTGGCATAGTCACGTATGCAAAATCGTTAAACTTTGGTATGATTTATTTTTCCATTATTTAAATATTACCTCAAGTATGTTTTTTTTAAATCGGAAGCTATGTATTTTTTTATGATAAAAATTAATTAAAAGTAACTCTGTTTTTTAGTACACAGTGCCTTGTCCAAATTTAAGAATACCTCCAGCTGCAAGAGCATTTCCTGGACCATATGCCAATCCGGCACAGTTTGATACTTTAGGTCCTCAAATCGATTATAATCTTGGATGGATACCAAAAGATATAAACTTGTCGGAACTTTTGGATCAGGTATTTAATAAATGTTACATTAATATATAATAGAAAATATAGATAGGAATAGGAAACATTGAGATGAAAATAGGAGTGAAGTGGCTGCTACCTACTGCAAGTAGCACTGATATTAGCAGGGCAAAGTATTTTGGAAGATATGACATCGATTCTCAAAACTATGTTTTTTATTTATAGAAACCAAGTTATTGGGCCTATAAAAAAAGCTCTATCAGGTTTATACTAGTTTCCTTTAAAATGGCTGGCCTTATGTTTTAGACATTAATAGTCTTTTCTTGTATAAAATCTGAGTAGGTATTTCGATAATACAAAATATAGTAGGTACAAATGCACAGTTAAGAGATGACGAGATCCAGCATAGCTGATCAGCGAACCATCTTGTAGTAGTAAACATGTAGTAAATAATACATACAAAATAAACTGACTTGTCGCCAGTAGAAGCATCAAACTTTAAATTAACAATTACTATCTGTAGACAAATACCTAATGAAATAAGACCAATAAGATTAACATTTCTGTGTAAAGCTTCTATTAGAACATCGCAATTAGTGGAATAAATTAGTGGTTTCAATTAGCGTAGAAGTTTGTTCCTTTAATTTCAATGTAAGCATTCAGAACGTCAAAATTAGTGGTAGTCTTTTTCAATTAGTAGAAAAAGTTATCAAACTTTTAACTTTTCCACTAATTATACTTAAAAATTTGCGAGAAATGTCATTTTCGCCTTTGATTATCTTCTGTCAAGAGAAATTGTGGTTATAAATCAAAAGTTGATTGTTTTATAAGCTAAATATTAGGCTTTCTCTAGGGATACAACTGACTGACGCAAGCTGTTGCTAGGATATTCTAAAGATAAATTAAAATAACTTCCGTTCCACATCATAATACGACCACCAGCAAACTCCATAACGACGCATGGTTACATTGATGACGTGCAAGGAAAGTTGTTCTAATTTTCCAATTTTAATTGTGTTTTTTAAACATTATGAATGATCGTAAACTAAAAAGTATAAAGTGTAATTAAAACCACTAATTTCGAGGTTCTGAATGAAGCTTATTTTTTTTATTTTTACTAAAATTTATGCTATGTGGTGTTGTTTCCAATTCTTATCTTTGTCCAATTGACCAATTCTTATCTTTATTAAAAAATATAATACATAATTGGCTATAATGTATATATGTTTTCTGTGCTATAATTGGCTTGGTAATTTTTGGAAGAAAATATATTATAGCTTATACGGCTGGAAAGCTTAAAAAATGGCGCTTTTGATGAAGTCATGACCAACTATGGTTTCCATTTAAAAAAAAAACATATTATGTTTGTATCATATGTCAAAAATGACAGGCTTTAGAAAAAATCGGAGAACACAAACTCATTAGGAATGTGATTATACACTTTTATATATTTTTTTTATTATACAACTTGTATCTGAAAACTTTTTGTCTAAAATAGATTATAATGGAATTAGGGACAATTTTTAAAATAGCCAAAATTTGTTTTTTTTTGAAATATCTAGTAAGCCATGAACTTTTTCAAAAATCTGAAAGTCGCATATTTATGTCCCCCCCAAAAAAAAAACGGAGAACACAATCTCATTAAGGACGTGATTACCTACACTTTTATCTGAAAACTTTTTGTCTGAAATAGATTATAATGGAATTAGGGAGCATTTTTAAAATAGGCAAATTTTTTTTTTCGAAATATCTAGTAAGGGGCATATATTTGACCTCATAAAACTACAATTTTAATACATCTTATATGAGAAAAAATATTGCAATATATTTTCTCGCAACATATACAGAGTGATTCACGGCCATTGTATGCTAGATGTTTATTTATATGGTAACGGCTTTTTTTTTAAATTTGGATTTTTGCATAAAGGCATCTGCTCTCTCTCTGTCTAACTTATTTTCAGCACTAAAATGTTGCCGCTTCATACTAAAAGTTTCATCTTTGTTACTTTAAATGGAACACCTGATATATTATTATATCGATATACCCTGCTGGCAAGCGAAACCTTGGGTCGGCGTTTACATGTATAGGAGTGAGTCGCTATGACAATTTAGTAAGTCTGAGAGAGCAAAAATACGATGTATTTATTACATAACCACTTAATCTGACGCTAGATTCCATAGAAGAATACTAGTATTTACTTGCCTTCTTAACCGGAGAGCTGGCGACATATTTAGAGAACATATTTTAGGCAAGTTAATGAATGTTTGAATAACAAAAAAAAAGTTTAATAACTTGTGAACCCAGAATCCTAAGTCTGGCTGGGGGGTTGGGGGTATTTCGCTACTGCGCAACCCATAACATTTGCAAAAAAATAAATCCAAAAAACATTCTTTAGGCAACTTGAAATTTGTTTATTCTTAAATTTTAGCATCTATTTAACCTAGAAATAAGTATTCCAGGCCAGACTTTTTTCTTGGGTTTAAAGTGTAACCCGACCATTCCAAATATGTTTAATTATTATACATGGAAAACATACTTTAGGCATTCTAAAATTTTTACAGCGTGTTTATTAGATGATATTAAAAAATATGTGTTAATTGGCAGACCAATTCAACGGGGTTTAATACTTGCCTGACGCGAATAAAGATTTTAAATGAGCGCGACAAAAAAGTCTTATGAGTATCTATAAGCGCGAGAAAGATAGTTTATTGAAACCCGTCGCGCGTCGGCAGCCGATGCGGCTGACGTAACAGTATTTTGGAGCACTTCAAATTTTCAAATTTTTTTCGGGTTTATTTCAATTATTTGCAGGTTTTTAATTCAGAGATTATTTTGTTGAAATTAAGTTACCATGTACAATTATATATTTATAAATTAAATATTGATGTGCATAGTGTAAATAGTTTAGAATAATTACTGCAAATAAATATTTTAGTAAGTACTAATTTCGCTACTGACTACTCAATCACAATGGATAAAAAACATTTAAGTTGTGTAGTTTGTAAAAAAGTTACTAGTGACAAAGTTATTGTTTTTGATGAAGGCAGACTACAAAAATGCAAAGAATTTTTAAAAGTGCGCCAACAACATGGTTTTAAATTTAAAGAAGTGGTTTTACCAGAAAACGTAGACCCGACAAAAGGGTACCATAGGGTACCATGTACAGTGTGTCCCATTTTGGTTGAAATCATAGGGTATCTCCGTTATTAGTGAAGATAGAAGGGTGCGGTTTGCACAAACCTGTCCCACTTTTTCGTCAAACGGAAGATGCTGCAAATAAAATTTTCATAGCCCTCTGCATTTCTGAGCTACAGGGTCTTTTCAAAAATTTTGCAATTTGGGACACCCCCTGTATCTCTGTTATTGTTAAAGGTATCGAGAAGGCGAAAACTGCTTATTGTAGAACTTTTTACGTAGAATACAGTAGCGTAGTCTGTTTTTCTACCAAAAAAATATTTTTGAAAATATGACCTGTATATTTATAAATCATGTGATCTGTCTTGCTACGAGCTTCTCAAAAATATATATCACTCTACATTTATTTTCACTATTTACTGCAATATTTAAAATATATCATTTTCTTATTAGTAGGCCGTGATAAATAACAAAAAATCAAAATGGTATTTACTAAAATAGTCATACACATATCAAAATTTATTTGGGATTGATATATTTTACCTCGTATTTTAGTTTTGAAATAACTGTTACCACTGAAACTGTGAATATATTTTTCTTTTTTTTATAACGGGATGGGTTTGCAAATATCTAAATCTTGAATTATTAAAGCATTTTTCAGGTGTTCAACATTGTTGTAATGCCCACGATATATTTCAGTAGAGGGCCTTATCGGTTTCGGATTAACCCCCCACCCTTTTTTTCAAGGTCACCAAATGCGCAGAAACCAAGGTTTGAGAAACACGCGCACACCCATGTTGGTCACCATATCCCCCCCCTCACCATTCACCCCCCTCCCCCCTCACCGTTCACCCCATCCACCCCCTTGTACCCAAACCAATGTGTTATAGATGGGTGCAAACCCTAGTTCGCCCTTTTGTCCTGCATTCAATCCCCTGTCCCTGTGGAACATATCCCCCCACCCCATGATGCTATTTGTTCAAGGTTAACCACTAATCCCTTTTTTACGCTTTTGACATGTGTCGACTTGTAGAATGGTCTTTGTCGAAGTATTTCAAGGCCATATAATGTCTCATATAGATGTGACTGAATATACGTATCTCACCCTCACGTGAGTGCATGTGTGTGATGGGTTTTTACGTATGACCAAAGATGAGTTCATTGCTATTCGTATTTAAACTTGTCAGAGTGTCTAGACAATTCATTCCAAGAGGTTCCCTTAAATAATTTAATCTATATATAATTTTTGATAATTTAACACAAACTACAAGATTATTTATACTAATCAAAATAAAATTATCTTCTGCATGTTTTACTTTATGATTTTACACGACCGCATATTGATTTTTAGCATAAGTTAAATTATAAATATTTGAATGATGTTGATAAATTGATAATCAAATATTAAATTAAATTAATTAGGTTTTCGAGGTGTCTAAAACATTAGCTAAATAATTTTAAGGGGTATAATAGGATATTATTCTTTTATTCAATTATTCGGTATTCTACAATTTTTAGTAGAATTTTACAGAAAACAGCTAAATAATTTTAATGGTATAATGGGATATTATTCAGTTATTCGATATTTAAATATTTTCAATAAAAATTTTACAGAAAGCGTGTTTAAATTTAAGGTTTAAACTGATTTAACTAGGTGTCGTTGTTTAAGAATGCCATGTTTTAAGAAATCAATAAAGTGGTACCGGCTGCGGGGTGAAGTCGGTGGGATAAGTCGAAAAGACAAAATGCAGCTGAAGCATAAGCGTTCGAAAAAAGGATACCATAGGCGGGGAGTTACTCGGTTTTTACTACATTTTATACCCGTTTTATACATGGATTTTCAATGTTTCATTTATTTTATATAAGTTTAAAGTTTGTATACATATATATGCAGATATAATATTATATATTT